TTTCTTCGTGGCCCTATAACACGTGAGAAATTACAAAAAAAGTGAATAATCTAACTAATTGAAATGACACACTAGCGGGTACTTAGACTTCCCTTGTGTATATATGATGTGACTCATTGCCTTAAGAATGTCGTCACCCAATCTATCATTAGGAAGAGTCACATATTAAAATTGAAAAACTAGATTAGTTATAAAGAACAAATATATATATATATATATAAATTGTTTTAAATACGGAGGTCAGCATAGGCTGTGGAGGGTACCATAGTCTGTTATGTCCCTCGTAAACACGAGACAGTGTCAATAATTCAACTGGAAAGTGTACTGGATTTGGTTCACATAGGGCTCCACGGACTGTGGAGTGAACCATGATCCATTTGGGCTTCTTTGACCTGAGTCAGTGTCCACTTCAATGTCCATTTGTGGACCACGAATAGTTTCACGGTCCATGTTTCCCTTCACGGTCCGTGAAGCCTTTCGTGGACTTACATTTCGTCCAAATTTCTGGTCAATTTCATCTTATATGTTTACAATGCCAGATTTCATCAATTATCAACACAGCCACAATTTTTGAGACATCTTTGCACATGGATGAAACTAATCTACCTAATCTCACCAACCCTTATTCAAAAAAGAACAATACACGTCTATTATGAACATACCCACATACAAACACTTGTCTTTTCTGAATTTCAACATAGTTTAACTGTAAAACTGACATGGGCACATTTACTTATGCAATTCAGACTCAAATTTACTTATGGGTGATAGAGAGACTGTTTAATATCAATAAGAACGTTACAAATTCGAGATATGAGAGAAAACCTCGACCTTTGGCGCTTAGGAATCTATATAAGACATTTGAAATCTTTTAATGTTACGCTGGTCGAGTCGGGTCGGGTCTACTGGGCACTACTAGACTAACTACGACGGACCGTGATGAAGCTCGTGATGAGCACCACGGTCCGTGAAAGTTACTTAAGCCAGACAACTAACATGAGGTTCACGAGAGGCTAAATTGTCAGTCCAAGGTCTGACGAACCGTAAACCCTTCTGTGAACCTATTTGGTGCATTTTACAGTAGCTCCTTTAAGAGATTGGTGATCCTTCACTGTCACCACTCAAGGGTACACCTTAGGTGTAACATGGCCTACTTGACCCCGAAGGGGTCTCATACAAGCCCTTAGCACATCATAACATAAGATAATAGAAAAGTACATAAATTTTAAATACTTTTATCCATACAATCGAATAATTTTCATAAAATCAAGGGGAAGTCTTTTACTACACTTTTGTCTCAAACCATCTAATTCAACTTTAGAATAAAACTTTTAGGACAAACCCATACAATAGTCTCAACATGAAAATAAAAGAAATAAGGGAAATAGTAGGTTTGTCCTCTAAGCTATGAGGACTCACCAAATCTTCAACTTCTTCTCTCCTTAGAAACCTAATTTCAAGATTGGAACTCAAATCTCCGAACCCTACATTTGATGAGAATGTAGGCAAAGTATGCATTAGTACAAAATGTACTAAATATGTTAGCTAGCAGATATCATAAGAGAATAACATAAGGGTTAGTCAACATAAGACATAATCATATGAAATACTTCATGAAACATCAATTATAAGAATAAGACACAATATCATAATCATAGGCAAAGTCTCCAACATACAAATCATATAAGCCTTACTCAACTCATAGTCATTCATATCATCATAGAGGGACTATTCTCAAGTAACCTCAAAGCATACTTGTGCAATGCATGGATAGCATCCCATAATGCCATCCAAGCTAAGTCTCCCTTTTTGGTCATCCTAATCATAGTCCATATGCATAGTCTGGTCTTAGGCTTTCATATCATAAGAGTACTATACCCCTGAGTAACCTCAAAGCATACTTGTTCAATGCATGAATAGCATCCCATAATACCATTCACACTAAGCATAACCTTGAAGTCACCATAGACATACTTACTATTCCTTAGGTCTCATTCTTTAACTTACTTCATATAGACAAGGTAAATATCACCTTTATTCAATCACATCATGGAACGCAACTATAGCAACAATCCATCAAAACATACATCATATAAGAGAACAGTTTCTTGAATAACCTTAAGTCATAATTGTGCAATGCATGAATGGCATACCATAATACTATTCATGCTAAGTACTACTTTTAAGTCCTCATACTAATACTTCTTGGTTTGGAATCTAGTTCCTCTCTTTAGATCTTAGACCACTATGAGGTACTTCATCAAGAACATCTTAGTTCATTATTATGTTGAACCCTATGAGATACTTCTTTAAGCATGTCAAGATTCATTATTAAGATGGACCCTATGAGATACTTACTTAAGCATGTCTAAGACCATTAATGCTTTTGAACACTATGAGATACTTCTTTAAGCATGTCTTAGTTCATTGGATATGGAGATTGCTACTAGAAACCTTAACTCAACTATGTGAAGGCTTCCATCTCATGAGACCTAACTTTGGGAAAACCCACACTCTACTACGTAAGAGTTTCCCCTTTACCTTGGATAGTCCTCACATCAACTAGGTGTGGTTCTCCTTTCAACTTGGAGCCCAGACCCTCTCTTGTGTGACACTTCATCTCATTGTCAATATCCACTTGAGGTCAAGAATACACCCCAAGATTTGACTATTAATCCTTGCTTAACATTCATGTCTCATTGAAGGATTTCCTTGACAATCAATTCATGTTTAAGTGATTCTATCACTTTATACTTTCAAGCATTTATAGGGTAGGTTAGGTGAGTATAGGCCTTCTACCACAATTCTACCTATTAGACTTCTATTCATCACATTAACTATACTCTCAAAGTCCTAGTGATTTAACATTCATGACTACAAGCCTTACTCGCAAAGCTTTACTTCATTCTATAACCATTCATATTTAGATCACAAGACATTCAATCACAATCTTCATTATTAGGTGATTTTAGTCATAACTCATCATGTAAGTTCAATCTCAAGCCTTACTAGTCAAGTTCCATCATACTCACATTATTCTAATTCAATTCATGTCTATATGTTTCTAGTCTTAGAAAATTACTACTAATAACATTAATTCTAGAAAATCGCATATGAACCTTCAATTTCACCTGTCATGGCATAAACCCACATAATTAAATTTCATCAATTAGACTAGGGTTAACCATGGAAACATAGAAATTCGTCATAATATCACAATTCAATGCTAAATCAATCATAATTAGGTATTATCCAGTCAATTGGAATCATACACAACATAGGAAGAACCCCTAGCTTAGATTGGGTTTTATCTTCACAATTGGGGGAAATCTAAGGGGCTCTATGGGTGGAAGAACCCATAGACGAAAAAGCTAACATACCATAATTCAAAGCCCTTATACAAGCTTGCAACAATGGAGTCTTGTTCTTGACCTAAGCTTCAGGCTCTATCTTCTACTTCAAGTCTTGAGTTTTCTAGAGAGAGAAATATTTGAGAGGAGAGTATTTTGGGGATTTGATTTGGGTCTTGGAATAAATGACTTAATTGGGTGAGTTTTGGTGTTAAAATAACTTATATAGGGGTCCTACGCTTCGGCAAAACGACATAACTTTGAGTTAAAAATTTGGGAAAAGAACCAAGAAGTTCCCTTGCTGGAAACTGGTAAATGGCATGACGGACGCCTTCACGGATCATCATCATCACCACGGTTCGTCAAACATGTCGTGAAGAATTTTCAACCTGACAATGCATCACTATTTCGGGGATAACTTTTTACCCTGAGACCGGAATTGAGAAAACTCGGTGGCGTTAGAAAGAGGACTCAGATACCTTTAATTCTATAGGTCATGGCCCACCCATTTAGTTTAGAGCTAAGATATATGATCATTTTAAGTTGACCCTACACTCTAAGTCTAATGAAAACCCTTCACGGACGTCTTCACCGTCCGTGTGGGGCTTCACTGACCGTTGTGATTCCATTGGCCGTTGACCAGTAGCCTAGCTTGCCTCCCCTTAGCCCCTAAAAATCTAACTCATAACCACGACGCCTCTCACGGACCGTGGTCGCCTTCACGAGCCGTCTAGTGGCTCGTGGGGACGATCCCTATTTTGGGCAGCCTTGTGAAGCTACTGCCTCACCTCCACGAGTGGTCCCACGATCCATGGTGACCACCACGAGCCGTGTAGGCTCTCATGGTAGGCAGTCAGTCTTCTTTAGCTACTGCCTAGGCATCATGGGCACCACCACGAGTTGTGGTGCCATTCACGACTCATGTGGGCACTCGTGGAGAGTGTCAAGGCCCAATTCTCTAGTTCATGCCTAGAACTTAGCCCCTAGCTTAGTCTACTAGATTCTGAGGTGTTACATTCACGATCTATGGTGTTGCTCATGAAGAGCACCATGGTCCGTGATGATGCTCGTGAAGACTTCTAAATCCCATCTCTTGATTTCTTTTGTCCAACTCTTTCCTGCACACATCAACACACTGTGACACTATAAAAAGAAGAAAAATATGCTGAAATGTACACTACCTATTCCATTTACAATCATGGGTTTCCTCACAAGTAGCACATAATTTAATGTCGCAGCGCGACAGAGGTTACTTGATTAGTCAGAATTCATCAAGCTTGCATTCATTCACTATTTTCACTTCCTCTGGGACTCCCAAGTATGCCTTGATTCACTGACCATTGGCTTTCAACCACTCACCTTTTTCATTCTCAAGCTCAATAACACCTGACTGAAATACCTGAGTTACCTTTAATGGCCCAGACCATTTGGATAGCATTTTCCTAGGAAATAGATAAAGCCTGGAGTTCAAAAGTAGCACTAAATCACCAGGACTAAAGGTCCTTTTTCTCAATGTGCTTATCATGGTATATCTTCATCCTTTATTTGTACAATACATACCTCTCATAAGCTCTCAGGTGGAACTCATCCATTTCATTTATCTGTCAGGTTCGCTGTTTCACACCAACTGAGGTTCATCTTTTTTAGTGCTCAAAGTGCTTTCTGCTCCAGCTCGATAGGCAAATAAAATGTCTTTCCAAATACCAACTGATATGGGGACACACCAATGGGAGTCTTAAAAGCTATCCAATATGCCCACAGAGTATCATTCATCTATCTTCCTTGCCCAATCTATTATGTTGGCATTCACTGTCTTTGCCAATATCGCTTTGACTTCTCGGTTCGATACCTCGACTTAACAACTTGTTTCCGGATGATACGGTGTTGCTACCTTATGGTGTTTAACCCCATATTTGGCCAAAAGTGCACTAAACACTTTATTGCAGAAATGTGAGCCTACATCACTAATAATCGCTCTAGGTGTACCAAACCTTGAGAATATGTTTTTCTTCAGAAAACCAGCAACATTTTTACCATCATTTTCAGGCAGGGCGACTGCCTCAATCCATTTGGACACATAGACCACTGCCACCAGTATATACTTTTTCCCATAGAAGCTCACAAATGGGCCCATAAAGTCAACTCCCCACACATCAAACAATTCCACCTCCAAAATAGGTGGCATTGACAGTTCATGCCGACGAGCGATGTCTCCTTGCCTCTGGCACACATCATAGCCCTTGACTAAATTGATTGTGTGTTGATGGATAGTAGTCCAGTAGTACCCACTCTGAAATACCTAGTGGGCAGTCTGTGCACCCCCATGATGACCACCTACCGGAGAGAAGTGACAAGTTTCTAAAATATGCAGCATCTCAGCCTCAGGGATACATTGTGTGATGAAGTTGTCAGCACACACTGTATAAATATGGTTCATCCCAAAAATACTTTCCCACATCATGTAGGAGCTTCTTCCTTTGTTGGAATGTCGACCCCTCAGGCATCAAATCACTGACAATAAAATTTGCAAAGTCAGCAAACCAAGGAATGAGATCAAGAGAGGCGACTAATACCTACTCATCTAGAAATGAGTCATTGATGTCTTACTCAAATTGTTCTTTCTTCTATGCCTCCAACCTAGACAGGTCATCAGCCACCTGATTTTCACAACCTCTTCTATATTTGACTTCAAAGTCAAATTCTTGAAGCAACAGCACCAATCTTATCAACCTCGGCTTTGCATCTTTCTTCGCCATTAGATATCGCAGTGCGGCATGATCAGTATGAACTATCACTCTAGTGCCCAGCAAGTATGCCCTAAACTTCTCAAATACATATACCACAGCAAGTGGCTACTGCTCAGTAACAGTGTAATTTCATTATGCCCCATTTAGTGATTTGTTGGCATAGTAGATTGGGTGGAAGATCTTGTTGCGTTTCTGTCCCAACATAACTCCCAATGCAATACCACTTACATCACACATCACCTCAAATGGTTCTAACCGATACGGACCAATGATCATTGGGGTAGAGACTAGATTTTCTAGCAGGAACTCAAAGGCTTTTAAGCATGTGTCATCAAAGGCAAATTTCACCTCATTCTCGAATAACTTGCACGAGGGATGTGCAATTTTTGATAAATCCTTGATGAATCGCCTATAGAATCCTGAATGACCCAAAAACCTTCGAATACCTTTTGCACAAATAGGTGGAGGCAACTTTTCAATTAACTCAATATTTGCTTTGTCTGCCTCCAATCCCTTCAGTGACACCTTGTGACATTGGACTATGCCCTTCTTGACCATGTCCGAGAAGATGGACATCATACACCTCTGGAATGTAGCTGGTGCATTACATTATCCAAATGGCATGTGTTTGAATGAAAAATTACCATAAAGACATGTGAAGGTTGTCTTCTCCTAATTTTCCGACGATATTGATATCTGGTTATACCCAGAGTATACATCTAAAAAGCAATACCACCCTTTACCAACCAACCTATCAAGCATCTGATCCATGAATGACATTGGAAAGTTGTCCTTCAACATCCACTTGTTCAGCTTCCTATACTCTATGCATACACGCCAACCTGTGACTGGTCTTTGCGGAATCAACTTGTTTTTCGCGTTGGCGACCACTTTCATGCCACCCTTCTTCGGAACTCACTACACTGGGCTAACCCAATGGCTATCAGAAATGGGGTACACCACCCTTGCATCCAACCATTTTATGATTTACTTTTTAACCACCTCTTGCATTGGTGGATTCAACCTCTTGTGGTACTCTATGCTTGGGTTGCAGTCTTCCTCGAGTTGGATTTTATGAGTACAAAAACCCGGAGGTATCCCAATGATGTCAACAATAGTCCAACCAAACGCTCTTTTGTACCTCATCAAAACTTTAATCACAGCTTGCACTATTCATCATTTAGATATGCAGCCAAAATAACTGGTAATGTGTTATTCATACCCAAAAAGGCATACCTTAGGCAGCTGGGTAACTACTTCAGCTCAAGTATAGGCAGTTCCTCAATAGATGGTTTTGCTGGAGGATATGGCATGTTTTTGGTGTGGGTCTAACTTCTTCGGAGCATAAGAATGTGACCCCATGCCTTGCAGAGCATTTAGAGTCTCCACCTAATCATCCTAGGGTTCTTCCTCAAAATTCAATAGCACGGCTGCCAATGTTTAAACAGCCAACCTTTCCTCAATAGCAGCTTCTTGCTCCCCTTCCCCGATGACTTCTATAGTAGACACCACATTCATGTCTCGTGGTTGCTGTATATATATGAATATTTTAAACTTTACCTCTTCATTATTGAACCTGAACTTCAGCTCCCCACTCTCCACATCTACTAAACCTCAACATGTAGCCAAGAATGGCCTCCTAAAGATTATGGGAACTTCAAAATCAACCTCGCAATCCAAAATCACAAAGTCTGCCGGAAAATTGAAACTATCCACTTTCACAAGCACAACACATAAGATACCTACAGGCCGCTTTACTTACCTATCAGCCATCATCAACCTCATCGCAATATGTTTTGGAACACCCAAGCCCAATTGTTTGTATATGGCTAGAGGAATTAGATTGATGTTAGCCCCTAAGTCACACAGGGCTTATGCAAACTCAAATGCTCCTATGGTGCATGGTATCGTGAATGCACCTAGATCCTCTTTTTTCTACACCAATGATCTTGTAGCAATATCACTACAATGATGAATATTATTAGTCGATCAAAAACTTGCAGCTCTCTTCTTTATGACTAAGTCCTTCATGAACTTAGCATATCTGGGAATCTGTTCCAGAGCTTCTACCGATGGAATGTTCACTGATAAATGTCTCAGTATGGTTATGAACAAGCATCCCATATTCAACTTTCTTCTTGAGTCTTTGAAGGAATGGAGGAGGCGGTCTCGGTCTTTGTTGTAGAGGAAAAGTTGCCTCTTCTTCTGCTTCCTTTACCTGAGCTGACCTAACTATTGGTTGACCCCCTTCTGTATCATCTACATGTTCAAATTCAACCTCTTCGTCCTCATTCCTCTTTGTTCTATGTTCCTGCTCAATACCTATAGGTTCTGATTTATTAAGGATCATACCGCTTCTAGTAGTAATGGCCATGCAATGCCCATCATTTTTGGGTTTCGCAATAGTGTCACTTGGTAGTGAACCATTCTTCCTTGGGTTCAGCGATGCTGATAGTTGCTCCAACTGTACCTCCAGCTGCTTGATAGAAGTGGTGTGAGAATCAACTAGCTGGCTCATACTAGAAAAAATCATTCTTCATTTTTTTTCACTCCTGCATCAGTAGATTCAATCTTCTGCAAAACCTTCGCTAACATATCCTCGATTTTAGATCCGGTAGAGTTACCTCCTACTCGATCCCTATCACCTGGAGGCACATATACACCACCGTGGTCATTCATGTATCCCTCTCTATTTTGCCAGTTTCCTTGCTCTCTATTTCCAACTCTTTCATACTACCCCTCTCTTGGGTAGTTTCGACCTTGATTCCAAGAATTATATCCTTGGTTTCTCGAGTTATAATTTCGGAAACCCCCTTGGTTCCCCTAGTATTTAGCTTCCTCATCTAAGTCGATGTCTTGATCATCATACCTTTGAGATGCACCGACAGCATTCACATTTTCTGAACCTGACATGAAGTGCTTTGTAAGCACATCCATTTGAGTCCTCATATGGGCCATGTCTTGGTCCCTTTCTTCCTTTCGCTTCTTTTGTTTAGATGAAAGATCAAATGTGAACCATAGATCTCTGACTTCAGCATCTCTGGTGTGCCATGCTCTATTGTTCTTTGAGACTTCAACATCTTGCGGATAGTTTTCCTACGTTCCGGATCATAGGGAATCAATGGAGATCCCTCACTTCTGGTATTTAGCATACACGAGTGAACTTACCTATCTAAGACACAGACAAAGAACAAGATATAAAATTAGGAAATATAACTACAATTAGAATAAAAGCTAGTAAAATATTTTTGAATTGAAATTCCCCGGCAGCAGCGCCAAAATTTGATACGTCCAAACTTACACTTCAATTAAGAATTATAAACGGTCTAAGTCAATTTATAGAACTCAACAAGAGTTGAGGTCAATCCCACATTGAATTTTCTTACAAAAATAGTTTACTATCGTGTTTATTTAACTGTTATTATTATTTCCTAAAGAAAGTAATTGTGAAATGTAAAATGGGTTTAGTTGTAGGTTTACGTAACAGGTTTAAGTAAACTATATTGTTAAAATATCCAGCTAAAAACAATGAATAGAGTTTTAACTTCAAGGTTGTGAAGATAAGCGAATGAAACCAGGGTTATGTTCCCTAGGACATTACATTTACTGTTGATTCGTGAACAAGTTTTAGGTGATCTATTCTTTGCAAATTACAGGCGAGTTAAATGTATCTAACACCTCTCAGTCTTGTTAGATAACTCCCACTCGAATCTTGTCGGTATTAGAGTGTTATCAGATTTTACCATCACATATTTTAGTGTCAAAACTCCCTTCTCTTGAACTCGAACTTTCACTCCAAATAAACAGATTAACTCAACTTTTTTCCTAACTATTGATTTTCTCTCGAACAATTGATAGATATAGGCAAGTTCTAACGCGTGCACTCATTAGAAAGACTAAATAATGAAAGTCGAGTTATGTTCTGCATTTATGAATCATATTCTACTCATTTTATGAATCTACACTTAGATTTAGCCAGTCATGCTTTCAATTGAATAAGCAAAGATCATTATTGAATACATTATGAGAAATAACTTACGAAAATTTGCAAATTCAAAGAAAACTTGATATTCAAAAGCCAAATCAAACTTCAAGTCTCGATCCAATGTTAATCTATAATAAAATGACAGTAGAATAATAGAAATGTAGTTTCTCATTCCATATATCACTAGATAAAACAAAAATACGACCTAATTAAGTCAAATAGTCTACCTAAAAAGAATCCTACTCAAAGTAGGACTGACTTGTTGGACTGCTTAACAGAACGGTCTGTCATGAGCTTCATGGTCCGTGAAGCCTGCCGTGGTCTCACACTTAGACAGTGTGAGACCGCTTTTCTTGAAATTATTCACGATCAACATCACGGGCCGTTAGAAGGACCATGGCCCGTCTAAGTTTCCATGGTCCTTACTTGACCAAACCCAATCATAACTCCTTA